GGATATCCCTGGAGAATGGATATCCCTGGAGAAGGGGTGGCCCTGGAGAATGGATGTCCATGGATAATGAGTGTCCCTGGAAAATGGATATCCCTAGAGAATGGATATCCCTGGAGAAGGGGTGGCCCTGGAGAATGGGTGGTCCTGGAGAATGAATGTCCATGGAAAACTAGTGGCCCTGGAAAATTGGTGGCCCTAGAGAATGGATATCTCTGGAGAATGGATATCCCTGGAGAAGGGGTGGCCCTGGAGAATGGATGCTCCCAGAGAATGAATGTCCATGGATAATGAGTGTCCCTGGAAAATGGATATCCCTGGAGAATGGGTGGCCCTGGAAAATGGGTGGCCCTGGAGAATGAATGTCCATGGAAAACGAGTGTCCCTGGAAAACTGGTGGCCCTAGAGAATGGATATCTCTGGAGAATGGATATCCCTGGAGAAGGGGTGGCCCTGGAGAATGGGTGCTCCTGGAGAATGAATGTCCATGGATAATGAGTGGCCCTGGAGAACTGGGTGTCCCAGGACAATTGGATGTCCCTGGATCATGAGTGGCCCTGGATGATGAAGGGTGGCCCTGGAAAATGGGTGGCCATGGAGAATGGATATCCCTGGATAATTGGATATCCCTGGAGAAGGGGCGTCTCAGGAGAATGAATGTCCATGGATAACGAGTGTCCCTGGAAAATGAATGTCCCTTGAGAACTGGGTGTTCCTGGGGAATTGGGTGTTCCTGGAGAACTGGGAGTTCCTGGATAACCGGGCGGCCCTGGAGAATGGATATCCCTGGATAATTGGGCGTTCCAGGAGAATGAATGACCCTGGAAAATGAATGTCCTTGGAGAACTGGGTCTCCCTGGAGAATTGGGTGTCCCTGGAAAACGGGTGCCCATGGTTCGGGTTGGGAGGGACCCTAAAGATCATCCATGGGCAGGGACACCTCCCATTATCCCAGGGTGCTCCAAGCTGGCCTTGGGCACTTCCAGGGATGGATCAGCCACAGCTTCTCCGGGAATTCCTTCCCAGAATCCCATCTATCCCTGCCCTATCCCAGTTTAAACCCACTCCCAGTGTCCCTCCCCTCCATCCCTTGTCCCAGGCCCCTCTCCAGTTTTTCTGGAGCCCAATTCCAGCACTGGGAGCTGCTCCAAGATCTTGTATTGGGAGATTCCGGCCACATCCAGGAATTAATGGATATAATATGGATTATTCCTGCCTGGAAGAGTGTCCCAGTAGGAGATGAGGGAGTTCAGGATCCCCCCGGCTCTGTCTGGAGGAGCTGCCGAGCCCCAGCTGGGTTTGCTTGCTCCCAAATCCCGCTGGGAATTCCGGCATTCCCTGCAGGAGATTCCCGGGATTCCTGCACGCGGGAATGTGTGGAGAAGAAGAGGAAGGGTGGGGAGGCAGCTGGAGCTGGAGCCGCCACATCTGAGACGGCTCCGGGCGAGGGGAGCGAGCGTTCCAGGGATGGGAAGATAAATCTGGGATTTATCCCGGATTACCCTTGGAATGGGAGCTATCCCACACCTGTGCACAGCAGCCCCATCCCAGATTTCCTGGAGGAAAGTTCTGGATGCCAAAGCTGAGCTGGGCACTGCTGAGGCACTGCCTCAGATCCTGGGGGCAGTTTTGGGATCTTCCCAAGAAGGACGTGGAAGGGCTGGAGCGCAGCCAGGGAGGAGTTTGGAATGCCAGGAGCGGCTGAGGGGAGCTGGGAATGTTGATCCTGGAGAAAGGAAGGATCGGGATGGACCTTCTGGATCTCCAAGGGTTTGGAGCTCCAGGAACAGCTGAGGGGAGCTGGGAATGTTGATCCTGGAGAAAGGAGGGATCGGGAGAGATCTTCTGGATCTCCAAGGGTTTGGAGCTCCAGGAGCGGCTGAGAGGAAATGGGAATGTTGATCCTGGAGAAAGGAAGGATCGGGATGAACCTTCTGGATCTCCACGGAAGGGTTTGGAG